CTATTGCCTGCCTGATTGGGGAGGGGGACGTGGGGGTTATTTATGATTGTCATAGATCAAATCAGACATCTCCATTTTGAAGATGTTTCCCTTGATTATGCCACCCTGGGTGTTCCGTGCAAGTAGGATTTTTTTTTGTCAATTTGACTTTGCAGTGTTTCTTTTAGACCTTGGAACTCTTGAGGGAAATTGTGCATGTACTAAGTAGTGTTGTCAAAGGCGCGCTTAAGCCCTAAAGCGAATGGCCTGCTTGTGAACCAGGACCAGTAGCAGTTTGCTACCTAAGTAGTGTTGTCAAAGGCGCGCTTAAGCCCTAAAGCGAATGGCCTGCTTGTGAACCAGGACCAGTAGCAGTTTGCTACCTAAGTAGTGTTGTCAAAGGCGCGCTTAAGCCCTAAAGCGAATGGCCTGCTTGTGAACCAGGACCAGTAGCAGTTTGCTACCTAAGTAGTGTTGTCAAAGGCGCGCTTAAGCCCTAAAGCGAGGCTCAAAACGTGTTGAGCGCCTCGCCTCGCTTTAGGTGTGCTTCAGTGTTGTCATCAAGGTTCTAAGGCATACTTATCCTTGCCAATGAGCCTCTGTTGACGAGGCGACACTAAATAATTGATATGTCACATTATTATAATTTTTTTTTTCAATTTCTTTGTTCATATATTTGTCATTCATGTTTATAATTGTTAGTTTTGAACCAAACATATATATTTGTATCTTTTTTCTCCCTTTGCGCCTTTTTTCATTAGCCTATGTTTTATTTGCACTTTTTGCTTAAAGCCCTAGTGGACCTTAGAGCTTTTTTGTGCTTTTCACCTTTGATAACACTATACCTAACATAAAACATAAGTTGCTATGAAGTTACCAATTTCAAAAAAAAAAAAAACATAAGTTGCTATGGGTTCGTATCTTTGTAAAGAAGCTAAAAGTTTTTCAAATTAGAGAAAATGTGAAAGGCTTAAATGGTAAGTTAGGAAGAAAGATTATTTGACTCACGTTTTACTTCACTGACATTTTTTAAGACAGAATTGCTATCAGATTGTAAAACAAAAGGATAGTACTTGGGATCACTAGATCCACCATTCGAAATAGCTACATTATTGTTTAGGGAAAAGAATTCACAATCCATTTAGGAACTTAGTGAATCAGGGACTTTGATCATAGCTTCTTCTTTTGTGCTTGAGATATGCTGCCGATATTCATATTTGGATTTCGGACTTCTATCCCTTAGTGCTAAAAACACCGACTATTTTTGGTTATCAAGCACATAACCCTTTGATTATTAAACATTTTCTTCAAATAAAAATGTTACATTCCAATTCTTTCATCAAATAATGTTACATTCCAATTGAACGAAGGCCTCCAAATATTTCGTCGCCTCTTTATAAATTATCAAAATTAGAGGTTAAACTAAATTGTGTATTAGTCAATGTTATCAAAGGCACACTTAAGCCTTGAAGAGAGGCTCAAAACGTGTTGAGTGCTTCGGCCTCGCTTAATGTGTGCTTAAGTGGCGTCATCATGGTTCTAAGGCATACTTTCCTTGCCAATGAATCTCTTTTGAAGAGACGACACTAAACAATTGATATTTCACTTTATCGCAATAATTTTTCAATTTCTTTGTTCATATATTTGTCATTCATGCTTACAAATTATTAGTCTTGGATAAAACATATATATTTATATTTTTTCTCCCTTTGTGCCTTTTTTAAATTAAAGCCCACACTTTAATTGCGCTTAAAGCCCCAGCAGACCTTAGAGCTTTTTTGCGCTTTTTGCTTTTGATCACACTGGTAATTAGTGTATTACTTCTTACTGGAAATGAGAAGAGAATGTTCCCACCAGGCTACTCTATAAGTGTTATCTTTTGATTTTGCCCAATTTTTTTTCCGTTTTACCCCATTCATTATTGAGGAAAAAAGAATTAGCAGAACCTTTTTCAAAATTAAAGACAACCGGAAAAACTGAACCAAATTATTTTTGGTTAGGTTTTGGTTTTCTCATTCACAAATTGAAAAGCAAAACAACTGAAAAAAAATATGAAAAACTGAACCGACCGGTGCCCACCCCTATCTCTATAAAGTATAAGTTGACATGTCCTATGTTGTTGATCAATATAAAGCATCCTACTTGTATCCAACTTTGGTGGCTGCAGTTGCCATGGGACTTGGATACGCTGATGCAAGAGAAAAATTGGCATGATATATCAGCCTCTAATAATAACGTTTTATTTGAGGTTATAGCTCATGCTACATTAATATTTAACATTTTGCTGTTTTTGTACAATCGGTGGAAGAGATGACTTCACCTTTTTTCTTCTTCAGATGTCTGCTTTTGCTTTGTTTCTGTTTCTGATAACACTTTCTGCTCGTAGATGACTTGAGAAAGCAAACCCACCAAGATCACTCCAAGAACTGCACTCTTTCCCAGGTCAGACGGTGAAGAGATCAAGGCATTCGTAATCCCAACTACCACGAGGCCCATAAGTGCAAGGTAGATATTCTTTCTAGTATTTGACTCGGCAATTTCTTTATTGAGTTGCTTCATCTTCTCTGTTTCCTTCTTAGCTTTTGCTTTATCCACTGGTTGTTTTTGCCCTAAGTTCTTAAAGAAAAGCCCTTCATTTTTCTCCTCCTCCATTTGGTCTACAAAGTCCGCCAGCTTCTTCTCGTTCTCTTCGATCCCCTGTTTGTTTAACTCTACTGATTCTTCAAAAGCTTGCATCTGGCTCTCTATATTTCCCATTATCTGCACCAAAAAGAAAGGAAAAAAAAAAATCAAAAGCTGTGTATTTGGATGAATTAAATTTTTTCATTTTCTGTATGACAGACCCTTTCACCAGCTTCATCAAGCTCTTTGAGGGCGTTTTCACCAATTTGGTCAATCTCAGTATTGGCATCTTCAGCAAACTGTGATAGATAAGCAGATCTTTCGTCTAAATAATCAGTAAGACGAACTTTTTGTGTTTGAAGCTGGGCTATCCTTGCAAGCAGTTCCTGCTGACGGGAGTCTCCTTGAGGCGGCGTAGGTGGAGTTTCTTCTGAGTCTGAATTTGAATCATTTGGTTTGCAGAGGCAGCGAACGAGGTCTTTCCTTTGGAAATGGCTTGTTCTGTTAAAAAATACATGTTGATTTGGTGTCATAGAATAGTGAATTGGTTTTAGATGAATCATCCTTTGAAGTTGTGTTCCAGTTTGTTGGGAGAATAGCTAGTGCTATGTAGTGAGTGTTATTAACTATGAAAAGGTAAAGTGTTTGTGTACCTCTGATTGAATGTACCTTATCCATTTTATTTGCAGATAATTTAGAAACAAAAAAAAGAAATGGGTCATTTCATTATTTGTCTGTTTAGTCATTGTGGGCCGTGAAGGGGAGTTTACACTTGTAAAGGAATACTTCTATATTTCAAAATATAAAGAAATAGATATACAAAGAAAAAAATTTAAGAGTATTCAACCAATATAGAATATATATACGTAAAACAAAAAGTTAACTAGCTATACAAAAGGGTTTTGCTGACATAAATCACTCTTTTCTTGAACAGTTAAACCAATATTTCTTATGAAGGGTAGGGGTACCAAGCAGTGGCGGAGGCAGGAATTCTATCAAGGGGGTTCAAATAAAAAAAATGTTGTTGCCTGGAATCGAACCCGTGACCCAAAGCTCACATAGGCTGAATCCTGACCCCCATAAACCACTGAGCTACTCCTTTGACATATGCTCAGGGGGTTCAATTTTAAATATATACACGTACACAAAAAAATTAATCTTATATATATAGTGTAATTTTTTTTCCGAGGGGGGTCGGATGACCCCCCTGGACACACTATAGAGCTACTCCTTTGACATATGCTCAGGGGGTTCAATTTTAAATATATACACGTACACAAAAAAATTAATCTTATATATATAGTGTAATTTTTTTTCCGAGGGGGGTCGGATGACCCCCCTGGACACACTATAGAGCTACTCCTTTGACATATGCTCAGGGGGTTCAATTTTAAATATATACACGTACACAAAAAAATTAATCTTATATATATAGTGTAATTTTTTTTCCGAGGGGGGTCGGATGACCCCCCTGGACACACTATAGAGCTACTCCTTTGACATATGCTCAGGGGGTTCAATTTTAAATATATACACGTACACAAAAAAATTAATCTTATATATATAGTGTAATTTTTTTTCCGAGGGGGGTCGGATGACCCCCCTGGACACACTATAGAGCTACTCCTTTGACATATGCTCAGGGGGTTCAATTTTAAATATATACACGTACACAAAAAAATTAATCTTATATATATAGTGTAATTTTTTTTCCGAGGGGGGTCGGATGACCCCCCTGGACACACTATAGAGCTACTCCTTTGACATATGCTCAGGGGGTTCAATTTTAAATATATACACGTACACAAAAAAATTAATCTTATATATATAGTGTAATTTTTTTTCCGAGGGGGGTCGGATGACCCCCCTGGACACACTATAGATCCGCCCCTGGTACCAAGGGCGAACTTATCGATAACAAAAAAAACGAAAATGTTTTTGCTGGAGGGTTCTTGATGTTTCGAGTCAAATGAAATTGAAAATATTTTTTTCTAAAAAATATTTCAAATGGCATTTCAAAAGTGATACTAATCTCATTTTTCATGTTCATGTGCACTCTCTATATATAGCTTTTGAATCTCTTGAATACAGAGCGTACAAAAAGAGAAACTTGGTCTGACTTCTGTTGCTAAATTAAGGGCGTTTTCTTTTATGTTTGTCACTTAAAATAAACACCCTAATAGCACCACAAATAAGCATCTTCACCACATGTCAAATAAAGTAAATGAACTAAAAGATGTTGATCATACAAGCAACAAGTCCAAGCTTGTAACACATTCCACTTGCTCCAAACTGGAATCATGCATTTGACCTATAATATTAGCATTAACAAATATGAAAGATGCTACGCACCATTTGGAACTTGAGGAAGAAAGCCTCGAGATGACCATGGCCAAAAACGCGATCATACTGATAAAAGAAGGGGAACAGACAAGTCTCAAACAAGACTAAGATTAATCAAGAAAGCATTCACCTAAGAACATAACTGATGTTTATAAAATAAAATTCATGGATAGATCAGAACCATCGGAACTAGCAGCAGTTGTAATCCATATCTACAGAAAGTTTGCATCTTCAGAAGAATAAACGCGATGATGTTTAGATTTTCCCAGTAACCTTCTTGTAAGTGTACCATTTGGAGATCCAGAGATAGACGAAAAAGTTGATGATGCTGAGGAATGCCAATAGCCAGTAAAAGTAGTCAAGGTGGCCTCTGTTCAAGTCATCTGGAATCCATCCAAACTTCCCGTGCCTTGTGGTGGTCTTCATCACGATTGTAACGAGGAGAGAACTTAGGTAACTACCTAATGCAGTAGTTGTAAGACAGAGGGCTGAACACAAACTTCTCATGGCATCAGGAGCCTGGTCATAGAAGAACTCCAGCTGACCGATGAATGTGAACACCTCCGCGCATCCAATCAAGAAGTATTGAGGAACTTGCCAGAAGATGCTCAGAGGAACGTATTCGAGGTCATAGTAGTTGTTCTTCCTTACCATGTCAAGCCGAATGGTCTCCAGAACTGCAGCACAAGCCATGGCAAATACTGAAATAACAAGACCAATGCCCATTCTCTGCAGCTGAGTGAATCCTCGTTCGTGGCCTGTATACTTTCGTGCCATGGGAACAATGACACGGTCATATACAGGCGCCCAGAAAATAACACTGACCGTGTCAAATATGGATAGACATGCTGATGGAATCCTGAAGTGAGGTCCAATGTAATTGTCCATTATGTTGCCTTGGTTAACAAACATGGTGCTCATCTGACCGTAGACACAGGAAAACACGATACCAGTAGCCCATATGGGGAGTAGACGGATGATCGACTTGACCTCCTCAACTTGAGTCACTGTGCAGAGCCTCCACGGATTCACTGATCCATTGACTTTATCAGATTCACCTTCCACAGCAGCCTTGTCAAAGAACCTGAGTTCCATTTTTCAAGTGGCGGTATATTAGCAAACAATAGAGTTGCAGCAAACACAAAGAATGGGACAATATGCATGATTTGAAACTTAAAAGGACCGAAAAGATGTATTTCACACTGTTATATGGACCAGCAATGAATACAACAGTGTAGCAATCTATAATCAGAGTGAAGTTTTACAAAGATCACCAGACAATATGGATTGTAGTTTTTATCAAAGAAGTTCTAATTACCTATAACTTCTAGAGAATTGACTACCATTGCGCGATATTAACATCTAAAAGGCATATTTAAGATAGACACGTTAACTTTGCCTCAACTGACATCTAAACACTCCGACTTTGAGAATGCACATCTAGACACCTCAAAGTCAGAGCGTTTAGTCTAAGTGTTCACTTCAGAAAGGTTACAATGGGATTGTAGAGTTACCTGAACTCGTCTGAGTGCTCAAGCTTGCGGCTTGCTACGATGATGGATTCTGTATCAGCAGTCTCATAGAGAAGAGTCTCGTCATGAGGAGTTTTGACATGACATTTTCTAATAGACGCAACAAACACCTGAACTATGCGAGTCAGGGGACTCCCTGCTGGTGGTTGGAGCCTATATAGACGGGTACCTGAAAAGAAAAACACTAGTGCAATGGCCATAGCCACAGCTGGAACACCAAAACCCAAGCCCCAGCCCACATTGCTTTGTATATACACTAGAGCTGATGAAGCGATAAGAGCACCGACATTGATTGAGAGATAAAACCAGTTAAAGAATGAGCTCTTCTTCTTCTTTTCGTTTTCATCATTGTCATCAAATTGATCTGCCCCAAAGGAAGAGACACAAGGCTTGATACCACCAGTTCCAAAGGCAATCAAGTAGATCGAAACAAAGAATGCTGTTTTCTGTGATGATGTTGGGTTGCAAGTACCATTATTACAGGGCCTTATCCCTTTTACAGAAGCAGATAACGTCAGGAGTGTCATTCCCTACATAAACAAGTTAAGTTCATCAATTCCTCCGCAAAAAATCAGTGTGCTCGAGTAAATAGAAACATCAGGACATGTTGTTACCACTACTTCTAAGTTACTGATGTGTACTTGCTAAAGTCAAAGACCATCAACAACATCATACACAACGAAATCCCACGAAGTGGGCTCTAGGAATACAGTGTAAGCAGGCCTTACCACTACCTCAGAGAGTTAGAGATACTGTTTCCAAAAGACCCTCGGCTCAAGCAACTCAAAGCAGTAATTAAAAGAAAAACAGTAGTGGAGAGAAACAAGACAATCACCTAAACACAGTAAACCACAAATGATATCAAATACCAAAATACACAGACTACATGAAAAGGCTAATACTACGATTGACATGATTCTCTATACTACCATCAAAGCAAATACATGAATAGGCTAGTAATACAACAACTCTCAACTACCTACTGACTTTCTACCCTTGTCCACGACCTCCATACCCTCCTATCAAAGAACATGAAAAGGATAAAAACGAAGAAGAGCCATTTAGTACTTACAATGATATAAAGGAATGAGAAACCAGCAATTGTCCAGTATCGCCCAAGATAGGCATCAGCCAAGAATGCTCCAATCAATGGTGTGACATAGCAGGTTCCCGACCAATTGTTTACAGCTTTTGAAGAAGCAGCAACGCCTAGATTGAGCCTCTTATGAATATAGTTCACCAAATTTGTACTCATACCATAGTACGCCAAACGCTCACATGCTTCATCCCCTGTAAATTCAAACCTTTACATGTCAACAACATCATTCTAACATAACTTCAAACTGAATTATACACAACTACTTCTATGGATTAAGTGAAACATCGTACCAAGGATGTAGGGACAAGCCTTCCAGGTTCCGGTTTTCTTCTTGTTAGCAGGTTTTTTATAGATGTCCACAGTCCCATCCTTCGTGTAGTCATCATCGCTATTCATTCTAGCTTCTCCCACAATGTCAACTAGACCAAATCAATGCAACAACCTAAAGGGCAAACAATCATACAAACACATAAGACACCTCTGCTACACATTGGAGATTTTCGAAATCAAAACAAGAACAACATTTATGGGCTTTGACACTCTAGGATTTTCACTAACGAGATTCATAGCAGAAAGAAGTAAACATACAACGAAACCAATAGAATTCAAAATCTACTATATTTACAAATAAAAAAAAAATAAAAAACTGACCTTTATACATATAATATAATTTTTCGACGATAAATTATTCCAAGATCACCACATATCAGATAAACAAAAGGATACCAATTGGCCAAAAGTGGACCCCACAAACAAACAACACTAATAATATACCCTCATAGTGTAAAAAAAAGTAGTCATTCTGTGTTCACATAGGGTTTAAGGAATGGTCACATCCCAAAGCATGACGCAAACATCAATGGTTGATTCGAAGATCTGTTAAATTATCTATAGGTAAAAATCAGGTTCTATAAGCAAAATTGAGATAATCAGAAAAACGAAAAAATCACACCACACACACATATACAGAGATGTTATCATGGTTAAATTAAATATATATACACACACATTACACAACATTTGTAGGAAAAACTCACTAATAATATACACTAAAAATGTAAAAAAAACATAAAAATCCTTCAATTATATTATTGTATATATATGTTAAATCCTTTTTGAAGGTAAAATAACTCAAAAACTGAGAAAGTTGCACAAAACATCACGTGTTTACATAAGTGTCTAGCTTGACACAAGCATTAGTGATTGATTCCACGTAACGAAAATCCATTAAATTTCATACATTGCATAATGATGATTATAGTATAGAATATAGATATATAAAAGATGAAAAATACCTTTTTGTGGGGTTTGAGAGAAGGAGGCGGCAGAGTAAAATGTTGGAGTTGAGGAATGTGAGAATATAAAGGGGTCTTACTGCTACAGCTCAGATTTTCTAGTTACTAACTTTGTATAAATTTTGTTGGAGAAAATAAATAATAATACTAATAATAATAAAAAGATTTATTATCTAAAATTGTATACTTAACTCTATAGTCTATATGCAAAAAATAAATTTTTACTATCCCTTGACAACTATGGGTAGATATGCTAAAATAGGAAATGTTTTCAATGCCCCGTTTAAATTTTAAGGAGACGTTTGACCATGAATTTTTTTGGGGAGTTGAATTTCAGTAGACATGTTTGGTTGAATTTTAAAATTTTCATAAATTTGAAAAGTAATAAAAATGTGTTTACTTTTTTCACTTCAAAGTACGGACAAAAAGTCAAAAATATTTTCAATTTGTATTCATGGTCAAACACAATTGTAATTTTCAAATATCATTTTTCACTTTAAAAACAAAAACTTTAAAAAAAAAGAAAAGAATTGACAATGAAATATGGTTAAATGCTGACTTAATAGTTTCGTTAAGAAACATTTTACTAGAATAAATTCTCATATGTAGTAAAATTTTGACAAATCGTTAGGATTTAGAATTGATGGATGTCATAGTAATCGTCAGAATTTATGATCAAATCCTTACAAATTTTAAAATTAATGGCAAAATTGTGTAATCGTAATCTTGATGGATCATCATAATTTATGATCACAAAATCCTCATAATTCGTCCGAATTAACAATAAAATTCTTATGAATCTTCATAACTTTTTGTGTTAAATACTAATCAACGCATCTTGTTTCAAAGTTCGTCCAAATCAACTCCAAATGACTCTAAATTTAATACTAATCCTAATATTTTTCAATGGTTAGATTCAATGTAAACCTTCATAAATTAATTAAGCCTATTTATTTCTTCTTCAACAAGTTTTTTCACGCTTAACAAAACTAAATAATAATAATAATAATAATAATAACAACAATAATAATAATAATGATAATAATTATCTATAAAATTATTTTGTAACGTAATACCATAGAATTGCATGATAATCATAACATGCTGCGAAAGACATAAATAATTCTAAACAAATTTATTTGTGTTTAAAATTAATTTACATATTAAAAATGAGTTTCAAAGTCAAACTTAATGACGATAGTCCTAATTCAAAATTTGGTTGGAACAATTTAAGCGTATCCTACTGAAATTTATTTTTGCCAACTGTCAAATTGAGAATATTTTGCTACATTTTTTCCTGAAATCACAATAAATGAAACAAGAAAATAATTATTTTTATATGTAAAATATTAACTATATAACTTTGTTTTATCAAGGCTTATTTTTATATTCAAAGTTTGAACCCGAGACATCTGGTTAAGGGAGGATCAACCTCATCTATTACGTCAATTATAGAAAACAAAGCATTGAATTTGAGTAGGAAAGTGTACCTTAATTATATTTTATCTTCACAATCTTTGTGTTTGATATGTAATTAGCAGAATGTGAACATTTGTATGTATACAAAATCGAAGTTATCTTCCGATCAACTGTCCATCCAATCAAGTTTCATTTATTGTACTTTAATTGACAGAAATAAGAAGTATGAACAATTTATATAGTCTGTTTTATTTATTGTATGTACTTAAATAAACTATAATTGGTAAAAGTAAAGAGTGTGAACATTTGATCTTTTATTCTAGTCTAGTTAACTAAACTACAACTGGCAGAAATGAAAGAGTTTGAACATTTATCTTTTATTGTACTTAAAACTGAACTACAATTGGCAGATAAAGAGTGTGAACATTTAACTTTTATTATATATATATATATATAATAGACTAAAAGGGCAGTAGTGGAAATAGGTTAAAATAGGTAACCGGTGCACTAAACTCCCTCTTCAGGAGCGGCTTAACATAATTGGAGCAACATTTTAATTATGTGCTTAAAATCTAAATAAACATTATATGTATTTATTCAATTTTTGAAAAAACATTTTAGATACATATTATTGTCTAATATATTTTTTATAAGTGATTTCTTCGATTTTTTTTAATTATTAATTTTAGGTAAGATTTTATCAATTCAACAATAACTCACTGAGGCAGTCATCATGATGTTAACAAAATTTTATAAGTAATAAGTAGAGAAGTTTTATATAATTGAGAGGTAGAATTATAGAATTTGATTCAAGAAGTTTGTACTTGATAATTGGTATACCCTACTTTAATATACTTGTTGTAATGCTTGAAAATTCAAGAAGAAATAAAAAAAGAATTTACAGTTCACTTTATTTAACAACTTTCGACTATTAATTCATATTTTTGATAGAGTATTGCTTTAACTTTTCAAAAATTTGAAGAAAGAGAGTGCAAAAGAAGTAAAAAAGAAAAGAAAAAAAGTTTAGGCTTGTGCTAGTAGATAATGTAAGAAGGCAAAACAACAAGTATTCTTCATTTCTTCTATTTGAACCGGGTTAAAGAAAATAAAACAAGGGTCAATTTTATAGGCAGCTTTACCCTGTATTTCTACAAGAGACTATTTTCAAAGCTTGAACGTGATCTTCAGCTAGTCATATGACAATAACTTTATCAGTAACGTCAAAACTTTCTTAGTATTTAGGAAATAATGGTTCATATTGTTAGTTATCATTATTTCCTCATTAAGCTACTTGGCTTTGGTGAAATTATGATTGATGTGTAGGATCTCCCAATTATATTTGTCAATGTGGGCAGATCAAAAGAATAAATCAATCACTATTTGAACAACAAAATAAGGATCAATTGCAGTTCTTATCAACAAAAGTATCCATTTCTTGGACTACTTATTTAGTCTTTAGCTGACAAAGACAGTTAACAGTGCAAAGACAGATCCAAAATCAAAGACGTTATTAGTCCGTTTGATCAAACTTTTAGAGTCCGTTTATTTTTTAAGTGCTTCTTTTAAAAAAGTACTTTTTGAAAAAGTTTATATGGCTAAACTAACTTGAAAAATACTTTTGCATTTTAGATTACTAAGTTGTGCTTGACCAAAGTTTAAACTTAATAGTAGTACTTTAGGAATTCAAGATAAAAATTAGTATTCTTTCCGTCCCAATTTATGTGATACATTTTTTATTTCAAAATTTAAACAAGTGTATCTTTGATCATAAAATTTTCATATATCTTTTAAATATTTTGAATTGTCAATCATTGCAACTTATAGTACTTTTAACATAGTTTACAAATACATAAATTTCATTTTTTTTTTTAAATGAAGATTTTATGCGCAATTGCCGGTCAAATTTAAACTGTTTGACTCGCAAAAATACGAAATGTGTCACATAAATTGGGACAGAGAGAGTAATTGTTTTCAACAATACCCCTTATATTAAAAAACTAGCACTTCAATTATCAAGAAACATCTAATAAGTAGGGGGTAACTTACTAAACTATACCTTATAGTTATTGTTTTTCTTAATTAATATTGGACATGAAAAGAGCTAAAAACGACAGTTAAAATGGAACATAGCAAGTATGATGCAATGCAATACTAAAAATTAGAACCAAAAAACCAAGGAAACCAACCTTAATGCTCATTTCAAGAAAATCAAGAATCTTGAACAACAATGTTATATCTTTTGCAGAAACAGATGATCAAAACACTAATAATATTGTTACAAATAATTGTAACTTAATTAACTATGATGAGGATGGACCTATATAAGGCTTCTTATAAGTATAAAATTTAGCAACAAACAGAAAAAATCCAAAATTGATCACACTTAGCACAGCCAAAAGCCAGAAAAAGTAATGTAAATGACCATAGTTCAAGTTATCAGGAATCCAACCAGCACCACCATGTCTAGTACTCATGTCTGTAACAACATTCACCAAAAATGTACTCAGATAGTTCCCGAGCGCGGTCGTTATAAGAGACAGAGCAGAACATAAACTTCTCATAGCATCAGGAGCTTGTTCATAGAAGAATTCCAATTGTCCAATGAATGTAAAAACCTCAGCACAACCTATGACAAAATATTGAGGAACTTGCCAAAAAATCGACATAGGTATATGCTTCATTTCGTAGTAATTATGTTGTTTTACACTTGTCAATCTTACCAATTCCAATGTTCCAGCAATCATCATCGCGAAAATTGAGATTACGAGTCCAATTGCCATCCTTTGTAGCTGAGTGAAACCATTCCTATGACCTGTGATTCTTCTGGCTGACGGAACAATCACACGGTCATAGACAGGTACCCAAAAAATGACACTAATCGTGTCGAAAAGGGAAAGGGAAGCTGAAGGGATTTCAAAGGATTTCGTCATGTGAAGATCCATTGTGTTGCCCTGGAGAACAAATAAGGTTCCCATTTGACTATACACACTGCTAAAGATTATACCAGTTGCCCATATAGGCAATAACCTTATGATTGATTTCAATTCTTCAACTTGTGTCACAGTGCAAAGACTCCATGGATTGATTGACCCTTTGATTTTTTCTGATTGTGTCTCCACTGCTGCCTTATCAAAGAAACTGAATAAAATATGAAGACAAAAATATTAAAACAAACGCTATTAAGTCGCTAAAAGATAACTACAAGTAACTGTTTGTCTGATAGTATAACTATCAAAGATAACTACAACTGTTGTTGATGAGATGATCATACGATTTAACAGAAAACGAATCGAAAAGGACTTAGACATACCTCAATTGTTGAGTATGATCAAGTTTCCTGCTACCTTGTACAACAGATTCTTCATCATTAGTTTCAAACAAAACAGAAGTATCCTTCACTTTAATTTTCCTAAAAGATGCAACTACAACTTGAAATATCCTTGTAAGTGGACTTCCACCAGGTTTTTGATTCCTATAAAGTTTTGTTCCTGAAAAAAAACTGACAACAGCAATAGCCATAGCAACAGCAGGAATACCAAATCCCCAACCCCATCCAACATTTGTTTGTATCCAAACAAGAACAGTAGAGGCAACGAGCGCGCCGATGTTGATAGAAAAATAGAACCAATTAAAGAAAGAACTCTTTTTTTTCTTCTCTGTTTCATCAGAATCATCAAATTGATCAGCACCAAATGATGAAACACAAGGTTTTATTCCACCAGTACCAAGTGCTATTAGGTAAAGACCTAAGTAAAATATTCCAATTTGTAATCCTTTAGGGTGACATGAATTGTTGTCATGATCACAAGGTGGTTTTAGTCCATGTATTGATGCTGATAATGTTAGTACTGTCATCCCCTGCATAAATTTAAAGTACAACGCTTTAACTTATATGCACTGACAATATTTATCTATTGTGTAAAAGTGTTTCATTCTTGTGTACGTACTTCCTAGGCAGGATAATAAACGTGTTAGTTAGTGCAATCTCACAAAGCAGGGTCTAGGGGGAAAGGTGTATGTAGAATGCAGAACTGCTAGGGTCATGTCCTCGGTAAGCTGAAGTTGTGATATGTTATGCATACTACCAAAATTAAAGAAACATGGAAAGCAAAAAAATATAAAGAGGCTTACAAAGACATAGATGATTGAGAAGGCAGCAATAGTCCAAAATCTTCCCAAATAGGCATCAGCTAGAAATGCACCTAGCAATGGTGTAACATAACATGTCCCTGACCAATTTGTAACATTATTAACTGCCACAACACTACTCTCATTCATCTGATATTTCAGATAATTCACTAGATTTGTGTTTATCCCATAATATGCCAGCCTCTCACAACATTCATTTCCTGTTAATTAAATTAAACGAGATCGATTCAAAATTTATATACGTACATAAACACAAAAAATCAATCATAATATAACTTATGGCTAGAGGGGGGTCGGGTGAACACCCTCCCTCCCCCTACATCCGCCGTTTGAATCTCAGATAATGAAAAGTATCACATCAATCGAAACGGAGAAATTAGTGTACCAAGGATATAGGGGCAAGCTCTCCAAGTTCCAGTTTGGTTCTTGATTGCTGGATTGTTTTTGTAATCCACCGTTCCATCTTTCACAAATTTATTATCATCTTCCGCCATACTTGATACTAGTGATACAAATAAAATTATATTCGAAGTATGAGGGTCAAAACACGTAATTTAAATAAACTTTACATATTTGAAAAATACACAAATATATTGTACAACTCAACATAACTAATAATTCAAGATATTTTAGAAATGTGATAAAATTATAGTTAAAGCTTTCCGAACAGTAATATCTTCACGTAAATTGAGACAGATGAAATAATATTTGTGTACATACCTAGGATGTTTTGCTTTTGCTAGGAGGAGGTGAAGGTTCAAGAAAACAAGAAAGCTCACCAAATTATTTATAATAAGATGAGTAAGTATAATTAATTTGGGAAGTTGGAAGTGTAATTAATATACACATATTAGAGAGGATGGCTGTGTGCATGGTTTCCATTTTGCAGCCATGCATACATTCATTGGACCTACGTTATCCTACACTTGACACTCCCACCATCTAAAACCCTATTCGACCAAATTACCAAAAAACCCTCCACAAATTACTATCCTCGTTAATTAGGAGTTGTTAGATGGGCGAATTGGACTAAATTTAAACGGGTTAAAATGATCCAAATTTAGAGTGAGTTATACATTTGCCTGGTCAACTGAATATAATTGTATTCGTTAGCTAAATATATAAAAAAATATCCCTCCGTTCATTTACTTGTCATATCATACTATAATAGATTTTGGTGGACAACTATTTATGTCAATTTCTCAGCTAATAAAAAGGTTACTGAAAACAATTCCAGTTTTGCGAAATCATTTTTATACGTGGCCAATTATGATTTGGCCACGACATTAATTAAATGTTTTTTTAAAAGGAAAAAGGTTAAAATATACCATAGAACTTTGAGAAAAGACTCATCTGTGTCATCCGTTAAAAGTTCGACTCATCTATGTCATTTTAGTTATAATGGCATGGATGAGCCTTTTTTTCTCAAACGGTAATGACATAGATGAGACAAACTATTAACTAATTGCATAGATAAGCCTTTTCTCAAAGTTCGATGATGTTGTAGACATTGATATTCTGCTGACTCTACAAGACGTGTTCAATTTGAATTGGGACTCTAGAAGATGTGTTCAGTTTCAATTAGAATTCTTGGAGGCTACTCAACCATAAACCCTAGTTTATGCCTATATAAAGGGTACTAAATTCCCTTAAAAGACATCTCAAAATAGCCCATAAACTCTTGGGTATTTTTAAAGATCAAGATCTCGAATATTCCACAAAAGTCATGGAATATTCATATAGAGGTCAAATCTAAATCATCATAGTTCGAGAAATACGCCATTAACGGCCCTCGAATCATGGATAAATATTAGGAAAATAGAATCAAGGGAGGAACAAAATTGTACCTGCATATTTATCAATAAAGTTATGTTTCTTCAAATTTTATTTGTGTGATTTATTATTTTCCATATGTTTAAAATTTGTTGCAAACAAATGTTTTAGAGTCTTTTCCCTTTCTATATTCTCTTTTTCAATCTGCTTTGAAATATATTGTGTAAGCTAAGGTTCTATTAGAAAGACATCCCTATCTCTATGAGGAGCAGATCAGTAAAATTTATGTACACTAATTTTTCAAATTTCATTTATGAAATTACAAAGTTAATTAATGGTCTGACTTATAAATCTCAACTTCTAAATAATCCTTTTACTTACCTTGGTACTTGGTTTTGGTCATGAATGTAGTGTAGAAGATATTTGTCCATGGCACACATATTTTCATTTTTCATGGCACACACTTCTATCCATAGTAGTAATTGATCAGTCAGTGTCTTCTCATTTTTGAGCCCTTAGCTTATTATTGATTTTTTTTATTTTCTATCTATTTGATATTTATATTGAAGCTCGATTAAATTGAATTCGCGCCGAAAAGTTCCATATTGATCATACGTAAAATGCTCTCTAGCAAAGGCAAATTTATATCATTCGAGACCTCTGATTAAGGATGAAAGAGTACTTACCACTCTCTGTCACAAACCGTTGTTGGTAGTTTATTATTGATTGAATCATCAATCAATTCCACTCTCTCTACTTGCTCTGGTTTTCTATCTTTCTTTCTAATTGAATTGAATTGATCTTTTTCTTTTTTTTCTGTTAGAGGCAGACTTCTCTCCCATATGGGGATTTGAGAGGTTACAATCACAATAAATATCATAGTTACTCCGTCTTTTCATTTTATAATGTTATCACAATATATATAATAATTGATATATAATTATACGTCTCGAAAAATGATTTAGAGAAAAAATAATTAATATCAATTTTTATTTTTTTTGATATATTAAAAAGTGACGAATAAAAAAAAAATATATTTTAAAAAAATACTAGACAAGTAAAGTAAACGAAAGAATTATTTTCACAGAACTTAGTGAACTATTTTGGATTTTAAAAATAGACCTCTTTTAAACAGAATGTAATCTTAATTTTGAAGACAAGACAAGAATTTGCGATTAGGATAGAAATATACTTAGCTACCAATATGTTCAATTAAATACCGTGATCTCATTGTATTCATTAATAGAGCAATTTCATAAGTATATAAGGACATTTTGTTTTATAAACGAGTAGAAATTCAGGAGAATACTATGAGTATTAATAATTCGATTAATTAGCAATTGTTGATAATTCAAATTAAAAGAAAAATGTTCGAGAACTCAATAGGATTGGTGAATTACGTGCAACCCTAAAATATTCATCTCATTGATAAGTGATAACGAAAAAAAATCGCTCTTTGTATAGTTAAATTTCATTATTCGTTTTATTTTTATTTTACTTGGTTCAAAAAAAAAAAAACTTTGAGATTTATCTATTCAATAAATAGTAATTAGCACTAGTTTAGTTTAATAAATAATTAATCACAAGTCCTTATGGATTCAACATTCGATTTCTAAAATTACTATATTACTTGTACGAGTAAACGCATGTGCATTTCGAAGCAACATGAAACTTCAGATATTTTGTCGGAATTTAAAAATTATACTTTGTCAAATCTAACTTTTAATATCATATGAGTATTTAAAATTATTCTGAAATAGATAGACTCGTAAACAAATTGTAACCTTAGAATATAAACTTAAATAGTGGTACCAAAATCTTGTGCACCTCCCCATTGCCAATAGGTTTAGTAGAATCTAAGTTTTGTTGTGATAAATCAGATTTTGGTCAAGCTTACATGAGTTCAACATAATTAGGTAAATATAACATAAATTAATTATTCCAATGCTTGTGAAATTTAGTCAGATAAAGTAGAGAAACATAATAATACCTAATTCTAGAAGATTGGATTATTTATTGATTTGTTTCATTCTCAAACACAATTTTTTTTAAAATATTTTATTTGTATTTTACATCTTTAAAAGGTAGCAAGTCGATTTAACACTAAGTGTTCCTAATAATTTAAAAGCATAGTAAGTTCAGAATTGACAAGAAAAAGAAATAAGTTGTCCACGTAGTACTGATCTAAAAGGACTATCTAAATTTATTAAAATACGATATTTAATTTCTAATATAACGAACAATGATTTTGAAATGTTTAAGAAAAGGAAATTATACATTTAAAAAATCACATGAAAGTACTATTTCATAGTCAACAATTTTTTGAGCTAAAAATAATTAAAGTCAAAGAAGAAAATGTATTGTACTTCATAAGTCATATAATTGAATAAAGGGGTATTTATTTTTACGCAAGTAATGATTAGGGGTGTGTTTGGTAATCGGCATGGAGTTTTAATTTTTCTATATTCGGTAGGTTAAAAAAAAAATTCTTTTTTTTTTTGGAAATAGATTTCTTAAAAATAAAAAAAAATGATTTTTTTCAAGTGAAAATAGAAAATACAAGTTTCTAACATTCCACGTAACCTCCCACCACCTTTCCTCTTCTTTACCCCCGCCTCCTTAGTCCCGTCCCTTGCCCTTACTCTCCCCCACTATGCATAATAGTTGTCTAGATTATATACAAATGCTTTTAGAAAAATATATTTTTTTTACTTACGTACGGAACATACAAAAATAAGTAAAAAATTGACTTATTTTCTTAGAAAATATTTTTTCGAAAAACATTTTTTATAGAAATCATTTTCGTTTGTGCCGAACGCACCCTAGTTGTCCACTTGTTCAATCACAGTGTTAGGTAAGTCCTCACGAGTTATATTTTTTAAAACTTTTTTTAATTATTATTAAAGAGTTAATTAGTTTCAGTATCATAAATCATAAATATGTCGTCATACAATATATAAATCATATTTTTATTTTACGCTTCAAATTAAATTTCTCTTATATGAGTTTAATTTCACCAATCCAGCTTCTTAATTATTATAATTCATCTACCATGTATTTGAAATATTTCATTAAATATTTTATTTTAATCAAGTAAAAACAATTGAAACAAAGAGACAATAACATATAATATAACTAATTAATTGTTCTTTTTTTTTTCTTTTTTTTCAGGTAACAATTTACATGTAATGATCATGAATAATAAAATTATTATATATTATGAAAGTGAAATTTAATCTACCATATGTTAGTAGATGAACTCCCTTCCCAAACAAGGAGGTTTAGTTAGTTGATCACCAAGTCGTCCTAACACTCCTAAAATTCATGATTGATCCTTAATTAATAAATTTCATTCTTTATTTTTGGTTTAAAAAAAATTCTTAATCTTTTTATCTTGTTGGGGAGGGTGAGACGTACTAAAAATCACTATTTTCCTATTGAATTTTCCACTGAAAAATGTACAATGGTTATTTTCACAAATCTTTTAGTTGAATCAGTGAGAAAAGAAAGAATAATAATGTTTTCATATGAAATATTAGGAAGTTTTCTACTATTTCAGTAAGAATTTGTTTTCTATCATGCATTTTCCTAGTGAGCTGGTTTCGTAGAAAATGAGTGAAAAAATCATATTTTATTCCACTAATTTGTTACTAAAAAACATTTGTTTCTAGTAATGAGAGAGTTCCAAATTTGCTTACTTGTTGGTCCAAACTCTAATAAA